TTTTTATTATCATGAACATTATTATTGTTGTTGTTATTTTGCTTATCATTGTTATTATCATGACCATTATCATTATTATCATTATAATTATCATTATCTTTATTATTATCATACAGATGCGTTAATATCTATAACCGGATTCTGATTTATTTGGTGTTACGTATATCAGTTTCAAAGAATAAAAAAAAATTAAAGACTGCCGAAAAAACAAAGGAGGTATTCGTTCTCACAATAAAAGTGAATATCCTGCAGTCTCCAAACGACCAGAAGCTATAGGACACCCAAGAACACCGTTATTCGGAAACGTTTCAAATCACCGACCAAGCAAAGAATTTTACTTTCATCACAGGAGACTTAACTTCCATACTCCGCATCAACCTTGACTTTTTTTTCGTCTTCTTCTTCATCTTAGTACTCGTCTTCCTACTTGAGTTCTGCCGTGCTCTTCCTCGGTAACAGGGTAACATTCCTTGTGTGTGGCTCCATGATCACAGAAGTTTATTGTCAGTCTACGAGGGCAGCTGTGTGCATTTTGATAGCTTTGATAAATTAGACGCTATAGTAAGTAACGTCGGTTTCTAAATCGCGTATATTCAGCGTTGTAACAAGAAACTGCGAATGCGTAGCTTTACGCTTTTTTGGTCTTCTGCCATGCCATTGGCGATGAGATTGGCAACCCTGTTATTCATAATACTCATACCGTACATTGACATTACCTAAATCTACTGTAACTAAAATCACTATGAGACATACTGTAATTATATGATAAAGTACAAAAAATACTATGCTGTGTACGCCAAAATATCAAAAGAAAAATACGGAAGAGAAATGGGCGGAACCAAGATAGCAGTTGGTAGTTCCGAGTGGAGGCGGGAAGCTACGTGCATTTGCCAGTGTACGATAACGTACCAAAGCAAACGATTTAGATGGTTAGGTCTCCAAGAAAACAGAGAATATATTCACATTTGGCTGTCTTCCTCAATTAACATCAGGTTTAATCATTCCAAGGAAAGCTGTGTGATGATGGAATGATGCAGATGCTACACATTTACCCATATCAGAGCTGCTAGTCTTGGAATTTCTAATTCAGGAAGACACGCAACAAGTGTTGATCCGAGTTTCACGTCTGGATGTGCAAGTTGCTGCGTTCAAAGGAGTGAAGACAGAAAAACTTCCCGCTGAACTCGGTAAACAGTCGGGTAGGTCGGAGTCGCAGTCTTCAAGGGAAGACCACATTTACTCTTCTTCCTTGGTAGTGATAACCATATCGATGGTAGCAATAAATGTAAATGTTTTAATAATGACAATTGTAATAATGATATTGAAAAAGCGAAAAGATAATGATATGAAGTAATAACAATGGCAGTATTAGTAGGAGTAGTAATAATGATAATAATAATGATTAAGCTAATGATGATAATGAAAACATTAAACAAAAGAAGATTGAACTAGTTCAGACGTAACTGACTGTCTCCTCCCTTTTCTCGACTGGAGTATAAGAGCCTGTTCCAATCGGCCCAGCGAAACGACAACCAAGGAAGTCACCAAAGCATTCACGGCGGAGAAGCGAGCTCAGTGGCGGGTGTGGGTCAGGGGAGGGAACGAGCGGTCTTAGCCACGTTCACACGCTCGCTCGCTCACTCGCACGCCGGTGGCAGCAGTTGGCGTTTCAATTCCCTTTCAAGGATGGGATATTTCCGTAGTGTTTCACGTGGTACTTTTGAATGCCATCGAATCTCTGAGGATATACTTATATGTGTGTAGGTGTTTGTGTGTGTGTGTGTGTGTATATATATATATATATATATATATATATATATATATATATATATATATATGTATATATATATATATATATATATATAGCACATGAAATTCATATATGTCCCACATACATAAATGCATACATATATATGTGTGTGTGTATATATATATTATATAATATATATATATATATATATTATATATATGTATATATATATATTTGTGTGTGTGTGTCTGTCTGTGTGTGTATGTTTATATATATACATATATATGTATCATGTACACACACACCACGCGCGCGCGCACGCGCATGTACGTGTGTGTGAGTGTGTGTGTGTAATATATAAATAGACATTCATCCATCCATATTCGTGCATGCCATATTCATACATACATAATACACATACATATACATATATATATATATATATATATATATATACATATATATATTACATACATACATATATATATATATATATATATATATATATATATATATATATATATATATATATATATATATATATATATATATATTTGTATGTGTGTGTGTGTGTGTGTGTGTATACGTGTTATATATATATATATATATATATATATATATATATATATATATATATATATATATATATTTTATATATATGTGTGTGTGTGTGTATACGTTATATATATAATATATATATATATATATATTATATATATATATATATATATATATATATATGTGTGTGTGTGTGTGTGTGTGTGTGTGTGTGTGTGTGTGTGTGTGTGTGTGTGTGTGTGTTCGTGTATATATTTTTATGCATACTGCAGCCTCTCTCTCCACAAGAAAAACATAAATCGATTGAACTGAATGAGTGGCTAGACACACCAGGGTAAACAAGTATAACTAAAATTCCCTTTTTATCCTATAGCTTAAAAGAAATGATTACGTCGACAATTTCTGTAATGACGACAAGACGCCATGCTAATAAGCAAGGTTTAAAACCGGTGACAGGCACTTTGTAAGAGTCGACTCGATTCACCAGCTAAACCGGTTCCATTTTCCTGTCAGCTGTACATGACTGAGAAACATCGCACACAAAACTTACTCTTTGAACAGGTGTTTTTAGCGACGAATTTGTGCCTTTTATTAGTCATACTTTCTGTATACTCGGGTAATAAAACAAACATTTTGGACTACATTTTTGAAAGAACTACCATGCATGGTAAGGCGAGAGGCTGTGAATGTCTTAAGTTGGTGTCGTGACTAAAGGCAATAAACATGTCCTGGTCCTAAGATTTGTTTATTTGTTGCCATGAAGTCGAGTTTGAGAATGCGATCTATAAGTAGATGAACACATAAACCTCGTCATTTGTTTTTGATCATTTGGTAATCTATAGGTTTATCACAGTCCTGACTATATGCATTTATCTGCTTTCCTAAAAGTATGTTATCTTCGTGTGTGCGCCTTCGGTCATAAGGCAGTAAGCTGGGGAAAATTACACCATGCATTCACCCAAGATGTGAAAGTTGAAGGCTGCGAATGATGGAGAGAATGGAGACGGCATCCGCACGTCTTGCAAGCACACTCCCTAAGGAATCGTCAGCCTGAGGCAAGCATGCCTTTGTGATCCAACATGTGTGCAGAGTTCATTAATATTTACCCATCTGTTATGGAGTGTGAGCAGAAAAAAATATATGACGCAATGAGAGTTCTATGGTCAGAATGAAAATATCTAACGAATCTTATCGTATTTAGTATTTCTTCATATAACAAACAAAAACGTTCAGGACTTGAAACTATTCATTGATGATGACACCGTCTGATAAAACTATCGTGTTTTCCGACATTTTATCTATCTCTTCTTGGAATACCCAGTTTAAAAGATAATACGTTCTTAGGTTGCAATACTAAACTTAATCACCGCACTTCCATGATGATAAGAATGATAATATTACAAGGGGCGCTCATTAATGATTTCCCCTGACCTACCTACTTACCCAAGGAGGCTGAAATTTCACATGTCTAACGATAAACATTATAAGCACCTTCTGATTTCCAGTCCTTAACTCATATTTTCTGTTATAGCGGTGAAGTTCACAGTCAGCAGGTTGCTTCTGAAGCCAAGAAGTGCCTTCAGAAATCAATGCCTCATCATCTTAGAAACATTTGCCCTTCAAAAAATGACTTCATGGACGGGAAGAGACGAAAGTCAGATGGTGCAACTTCAGGAGAATGAGCAGGATGAAATAGGATGTCGTATCCACAGGACCACGCTTCTATCTGGGCAATGGGAGAGTTGTGAACTGGAGGTTTTCTTGTAGAAGACAACTTTTGTCAGCATTTCTCTCTTGGTTCTAATAGCCTCCCGCAATTTCTGTAGCAGTGAAGTGTAGTAAGCTCCTGTAATTGTAATACTTTTTGCCAAGAAATTTATCAATAATCCATGCTGGTCCCAAAAGACTGAGGTAATTGTAATAATAATGATGATAACAATAATAATAGTGCTGATAAAAATGATGCCTATGATAATGATAAAATAATGATACTAACCGTAATATTAATAATGATAAAATTAATATGATCATTATCATCTTTGTTGTTAATGTTATTATTATTATTATTATTATTATTATTATTATTATTGCTATTACCATTATTATTATCCTCATTTCTAAAATCCTTGTTTCTGACCCTTCGAAAGAAATTGTATACCAAGTACGAGCGATGTTCGTCGATACCAGTTGATCTATCAACTACCCTAAATATGCCACATCGAACTCCTATGAACACCCAGCAGGATGCTACATATGATGAGTGCGTGGCCGACGCGAGGCATTCTGAATTTTTAAGATAACATGACGCCATCTTATCAGGAATAGTTGCGGGACTGAGCTCCATTGTAAACCACCGGAAGTCAAGCTTACTTTATTGTTTGACTGGACGCCATCAAACAAGCAACTGCATGATTGTAATCTATTGCGATTGGCAGTTCTTTCGCCATAGAGTTGTTACCGGGTAAAGGCAAACTGTTTTTAAAAGAGTAAGCCTATAGTGTCACTAGAAGGGAAAGCTTCAGCTTCTGAGTTCGAGGATGAGATCGTCCTTGTATGAGGTGGATGACGACGGAATTGCCGCACGAATGGAGGGGCAAAATGTCAAGTCATCGTACCCTTTGCTTGTGAATTTTCCTTTCCCTGTCGGCGACGGCTAACATAAATCTTGAAAGTTCGGCTACTTGTAAAACGA